ATCTGTTGCCAATCTTCCTTTTTTTTTTTTTTTCTTGAGGAAGATTGTCGCTGAGCTAACATCTATGTCAATCTTCCTCTACTTTGCATGTGGGACACTGCCACAGCATGGCTTGATGAGTGGTGTGTAGGTCCATGCTTGGGATCTGCACCCATGGACCCCAGGCCGCTGGAGCGGAGTAGGCAAACTTAACCACTACACCACTGGGCCAGCCCCTTAACCATTTTTAAATGTACAATTCAGAGGCAGTAAGTATATTCACAACGTTGTACAACCATTACCACTATTTATTTCCAGAACTTTTTCATCATCCCAAACAGAAACTCTGTAATTATTCCTCCTTCCTCCCAAACACTGGTAACTTCTGTTCTACTTTCTGTCTCTATGAATTTTCCTATGCTAGATATTTAATATAAATGGAATCATACAATATTTGTTTGTGTCTGGCTTATTTCACTTAGCATAATGGTTTCAAGATTCATCCATATTGTAGCACACATAAAAATTTCATTCCTTTTTATGGCTGAATAAAATTATATTGTATGTATGTACACATTTGGTTTATTCATTCATCTGTTGATGGACACTTGGGTTGTTTCCACCTTTTGACTATTGTGAATAACGCTGCTAAGAACATTAGTGTACAAGTATGTGTTTGAGACCCTGCTTTTAATATCATTTAATAATGTCTGTGTTTAACAAGCAGCTGGCAAAATTCCTGAAAATTTAATAATCAGCTCTGGTGAGTCTGTTAGAGCCTGTTACAATGGGCCCTAGCACAACATTGGAGAGCCATAATTTACCCATTTGTACTCAACCAAGGGCCAATTTGGATACAACTCACCACACCAGCATCTTCCACATTTGCCTAATAATAATTGCCTGAGGGACTGGCCCAGTGCCGTAGTGGTTAAGTTCACACACTCCGCTTCAGCAGCCTGGGGTTCACGGGTTCAAATCCTGAGTGTGGACCTACACCACTGCTCAAGCCATGCTGTGGCGGTGACCCACATACAAAATAGAGGAAGACATGGGCTACAAATATAGTGCCCTGGAAGAGAGGAGGCGAGAATAAGTCCTTTGGGGAGAACTTGCCACAAATTTGGGGGTGCCATTTTTTTCTCTCCAAATCTTTCCCAGCTCCAATATTCATTGACTACACAATTCTCTCCTGCTCATCTCCCTGAATTTCATCTAGGAAAGAACACCTTCCAGAGAGAGCCAAGTGGAAATCATTAGGCCCAGTAATTTGACATGATCGCAGAAGCTTGCATATCATTATACTGTTTAGAAACATGCTCTGAGGATGCCATTCTGCAGCGTTATTTTGATACCCTGACAAGATATTTTTAGAGCACATGAAGCCTAAATTAAAACACTGCTACCAAAAAAAAAGGGGAATTAAACCAGGGCTCCATTAAATGGCAAACTACAGTAAATATCAGATAGGAGTGAAGGAAAAAGTACCCAACATTTTTGAGAACTATTTTGAGAGGAAAGGAGATGAAGAGATACTCCTGACCAGCATACGGAGATGAGCCTTTGTCCTGCCAGTGTGGGAGGGAGAGGCCTCATGCCTGTAGGCCCTGACCTGACAGGATCTCACCCTTTATTAGAGCAGGAGGAACTTCCTTCCCACTGGTGAGGGCTGGATGTAGGCTGCTGGCAGGCAACACAGTACTTTGGCTTTACTGGACACAGTCAAGGATCTCACTGGCCTTCTGCTTAGTCCCTGGTTCATGGGTTGTGTCTGAAATATGGTTAGTTAGGCCCCAAACCCTCTCGCCTTCTTCCTTCCTCCTGTTTCTCTCTAGACTAGCCGTGTTTTTGGCATTTCTCACAGTGTCTCTATTTGAGGGCTTCCATGAGCTCAGATTTAAAGACCCATCCAAAAAACTACTTCTGAGAAGAAGGTCCACACCCGTTTTTAGACCTTGTAGAACATTGGTTCCTAACTTCTTTGGGGCTACAGACGTCTGATTACCTGATGAAGGCTGTGGGTCTTTCATCTACAATTTGGTAGTTAGAGTTTCAAAGAGTTTGTTGACCCCCTCAAGCCCATCAGTGGATCCTATGTTAAGAGACTCTGCCTTAGGTAGTGATTCAGACCCCGGTGGCCTTGGAGCAGTGATGCCCTTGGCCTTCAGCTGGGTACTGTCACATGCCCCGTAGTCTCAGCACTCCAGCTATGACAGGAATTTGAAAGGCTCTCCTTTTCTTGGAGTCTTGATACAGTTCTAACTGGTAAGTGGATAATTCAGAGCAAGATCAAGAGGCTTCTTTTGGCAATGCTAAAATATCCTTAGGTTTCTTAACAAAGAAAGAGATAGAGGAGAGTTCTTTTGAGGAATAAAAAGTCTCTGAGTCACTGTTTATCCCAGAGAGATGGAAAGATCTTCAGGTCTATGAGAGGAAGTGTAGGCAGTAGATGCTAAGAGTCGTTTTCCATGTTCACTGAATTCAGGGCACACCAGAATTTTGTGATCTCTGTCACGTGCCCTGGGGAGTGAAGATGAAATGTGATGATTATGAAACCGGTCCGTACCATCAAGGAACACACCAGCCTGCATAAAGTGGAGGGTGGACAAATTAACACTCCCACCCTCCACCCTCCCCACCCCCACTTGCCTAAAGTACAGGGCACATAGAATTTTTTTTATTAATTTTTATTTAATTAATTAAATACTGGAGGAATGAATCTGTCGAATGAGTTGGCTTGCCCTACAGGGTCATTTTATACTGACCAATTGGATTTTGAAGCATGTCTCCAGAGGCAATGGATTTTTATTTTGTCTTTGTTGAGTGTTGAGCCATTATTCCTGGCTGCTGTTAGCTTCGACTGTCTCTTCAGGCTACTCCCTATGGTTGATAATAAAACCATTATGGGAATAGGGCAGGCATCCAGAGTCTAGGACTTGCTGAAGGCTCTGGGAGGGACAAGAAGGGGTGGAGTGGGGTGAGGGAGCTGGCAGGGACAGATAAGCTTTGAGGTTCTGACACTTCTTTCCCCCTTCTGAATTGTAGATAGTATTTGGAGCAGGGGGTGGGGTGGGGAGTGAGGGCTAGATATATATTATCTGTATACACATATATTCAATTCCTCATTTCTTTTTTCACTGTGCTTTTTTCCAGTCTTCGTCCATATTCATGTTCGCTTACCTAAGTATGAGTCATAATGTAATACTCTTGTGTTTTGTTTCTAAACTTAGCATTATATAACATTTTTAATGATATTTATTTGTTATGAGTAGCTTTTAAAAACAGACAGAGCTCTCCTGTTTTTTCTGACTATAAACATAAAGCATATTCATTATTTTTAAAAATGCAGACAATATGAAAAGAAAGTGAAAAATCACCCCTGATATTTTGAAATGTATCCTTCAAGACTTTTTTCTATGCATGTATAAATACATACAAAAATGGGATCATACCATACATGCTGTTTTGTCTGTGTGTGTGTGTGTGTGTGTGTGTGTGTGTGCGCGTGTGTATGAGGAAGATCAGCCCTGAGCTAACATCCATGCCAATCCTCCTCTTTTTGCTGAGGAAGACTGGCCCTGGACTAACATCCGTGCCCATTTTCCTCTACTTTATATGGGATGCCGCCACAGCATGGCCTGACAAGCAGTGCATCGGTGCGCGGCCAGGATCCAACAGGGCCACCAGCAGCCGCTATGCTGCAGGCCAGCCCCAATGCATGCTGTTTTAGTTCCTGTTTTCCATGTCATTAAATAGAGTAGTAATTTAAATTTTTAAAATTTTAATTAGTATTATATAGATACAGAGTAGTATTTTAATAATTAGTAGTTTTTTAGTACTAAAGTATTTTTAAAAATTAATTTTTAATATTTAATAGAGTAGTATTTTTAAGGATGGATGTACCACAGTTTATTTACCCTTTTCTATTGATAATTCAGTTTTTTCCAAATTATCACCATTGTAATAGTTCCCATACATACATCTTCTCTCCTTAGGACCAATTCCTAGAAGTAGAATTTGTGGTCAAAGGGAATGCACATTTAACATTTTGCATTGCATTGTTTACCAGTTATCACTCCCAACAGAAGTGTATAAGATAGCTCCTTTTCTCTCCCTCTTGCCAATATAATTATCCTTCTTAATAGCCGCAAAATAATCCTGAAGTAATGCTCAAAGAGCAGACCTTCCAGTTTGGAGGCAGAGCCACATGGTCCCCTAGGAATGTCATGAGCCACAGTGTCCCTGCCATGTGCAGGTACCGCCGCCAGATGGCGAGAGGGAGGCCTGGGAGGACGTGCGTAGGACCCAAGCCCGGCTCCGTTCGCCGACGGCGGTCCGACCCGGTGCCCGCGAAGGCAGGGGAGGCCGAGGGCCAAACTGTGTGGGGAAAACGGGACCCCGGGCCCAGAGCATACGAAGGCAGGGCCAGGAGATGTAGTTCGGCGTTCCAGGGAAGAAGATGCGGGCTAAGTGAGGAAACGGAGGCTGCAACGGTCTTACCACCGCCGGTACCCCGCCGTGTGCGCTGATGGAGGACGCGAGGGGGCGCGGGTGCCGCGGGAGGGGCGAGGTCGCGGCGTGGACCCAGCGCCTCCGAGCGCCTCCGGGGACCTCCGGTCCAAGCGGACCAGGGAGACGCCCGGACCCCGCCAGCTGCGTTTTCTGCGCAGCCTCGGATTCCCGGAGGGAGGCGCTGGTGGGAAGAGCCAGAGCCGTGGGAATCCGACCGAAACCCCCCTGCCCCACTTAGTGGCCGCGGACCTAAGGCAAGTCACAGGACCTGCATGCGTTTCGGCTCCTTTTTTATGAAATGGGATCACTGCTGGTACCTACCCCAGGGAAGACTGTACAGTGAAGATTAATTGAGATAATATATGGTGGCTGGTATTTTTGTACACCTCCCTAAAAACACCACCATCCCCACCCACCACCCAACACAACTGACTTATTAACTTCCTGTAAGCTACAGAGGGATGAAAGAGAAGATCTATCTCAGTAGAAATTTACTGTATCCCATTCTTTCAGTGCACCCTCTAGTCCTTTGTCCCAAATCCGGAAAGAAATGTTACAAACCCTGGTCCTCACTCTCGGGGATCCCACGGTGTAACTGAGGAGTCGTGAATGGTACACACGCAGGAAAATTACTTCAAAAGCCTTAGCAGGGTTCAAAATCAACGCATCTGACAGTTCTCTTGGGAGAAGGGGTGCCAGCCCCTCCCGGCCGGTTTTGAGCTCTGACAAAATCCTGGGTCTACCCGGCACATCTTGCTCACTTCCCTAGTCCAGTTCCCAGTTGATGGAGATGGCTGGTGGCCGCTCTGAGGAATGAGGGCATGGGAGGGGGAGGGGGCCGGGCTCTGTGTTGGCAGTTGCCATGGTTTTGCTCCCGAGTTCTGGAGCCAACCCACCCACTGCCTGAGACACTCAGGTCACAGAAGCAGTAGGTCAGAAGCCCAAGGGGCTGTGAGGAGTGCCACTCTGGAGCCCACCAGCGCCCCTGTTGAGATGGAGGCCTCAGATGGGCAAGGGGGTGAAGGGGACAAGCCACTAGAGAAGGTTAAGTGGGGCTGGGGGTGTGAGGGAGGGAGGAAAGGAGGGTCCTTGAGGGGCTGGTTTTGGAAAGCAGAGAACATGAAATTCAAGGAAGAAGAGAAGAGGGAAAAATGGTGAGGTACATGAGTTAGCAAAAGACGGAAAGAACAAGAGAATGTTAATTCATTCAAACAGATGTTTATCAAGGACATGTTTTCCTGGCAAGATGATTGTTGGTTATGAAGACACAAGGGCTCGTGTGTGGTTGTGTGGTCTGTTTATGGAGTTGACCAGCCAGAGTCCCCTCTCTCTGGGGCCTGGAGGAGCCTGTGTCCCATACCCCCTCCACCCACCTCCTTCCCTCTTTCTGGTGTCTCCCTTCAGAGTGGTCTGGGCCTGGATCTTCCTTGTTCCCACCGAACACAGGCAGGAATTAATGCTCACTTTCCTGAGAGGCTTTTGAAAGGTCAGGTGCAAATCCAACCATGTCAATCTAATCCCCTTCTCTGACATCGAGTATTATTTCACAGTCACTTTGTCTTCATGAATTTTCAGTTTTCTTTGCCTCACTTTTGCTTTCAAGACGTTCCTTTTCGTCATTACCATCACCATCACACGTTTTTTCTGAGTGCCCATTAGCATGACATGATGCTAAAGATTAGAGATACAAAGAAGTGGGCCTGGGACTTAGGCACTCAATAAATGTTTGCTGAATGGATGAGTAAATGAATCCCTGCTCGTTCCTCCAAAGAGTTACTTCAATCTCTTGGTGCCTCAGTGTTCTCCTCTGTAACCAGGGATAGTGATATCTAACCTCACAGAATTTGTGGGAGAATAAAATGGGTTAGTGTTTAGCAAATGCTTTACAAAGTTAGCTAGTATGCTGTGCTACAATTATAAAAGGAATGGGTAGGGCAGTCTCGGTTTTCTAAGCAGAGATTCTCAGAGATGAGTTTCTTTGCCCAGGTTCACTTGCCTCAGAGCTGGGTCAAGGAGAGGGCATTGGGAAAATGGAGAAGGGCTTTGGCTGGCATTTGGACCAATGGTTGCCCAGCACTGCCCCTCAGCTGACCACTGCCCCCTGCCTCGTCCCAGGTGACAGATGGGCCCTGCTTAGAGGGGAGCGCCAGCACCATCCCTGCCGGAGACTCACTCGTGCGCCATACCAAGGGCCTGGGCCACGACACCTTCAAAATTGTGAGTAAGGGGCCAGTCCAGGCCCCTGTCCCCTGTTCCCCACAGGTCAGGAAACCTAGGTCAGAAACTGGTAGGGCTCAGACCATAGCTCATTGCCCAATTTGTCACACTCTTGGGAAGGAAGTGCGGTAAGAGGCTGACAGGAACTTCCTCACTTAACGTGAGCAACCCTTCCTGGGCTGTAAGGGCTGTAGCCAGGTCAACCTGCTGGTTACTTGAGGCTGCCCATCTGCCTTTTCTTTTCCCCTATGGTCCCTCATTTCGGCTTTTGCCTCCTCAGTGTAAAGAATACCTAAGGCCACTGAAGAAGTTCTTGCGAAAGTTGCACCTGCCCAGGGACCTTCCTCAGAAGAAGAGGCTAAAATACATGAAGCAGAGCCTGGTGGTCCTAGGGGACCACATCAACACCTTTCTGCAGCACTACTGCCGAGCCTGGGAAATCAAGCACTGGAGAAAGTAAGGCAGCCTCCTTGTGCTTCCCTCTATACCCACTCCTGGGCCACTCCCTCTAAATTCAAGGTCATACCTCTGTCAAGATCCCCCAGTCCTTCATCTTTATATGAGTCAGGATCCTGGAGTGAGCATGGTGAAGGGGGCGTGGAGAGAACAAGGTCCTCTAGTCTCTCAGGGCAACATTGATCGCTCCAGAGCTGTACACACAGTGGGCAAAGACCTCTCCTGACCCTGAGGAGAATGACCTCTGATTGAACAACTGCTGTGTGGTGTGTGTGCTCATCACCAGGATAGCATATTCAAGGTCTGGCAAATCCCCTCCTTTCCATGCCCCCAACCAAAAACCAAGGAGGTAGCATGTAGCCCATTTCTCCATGAGTGGGTCCTGGCCACAGACAAATGCTGAAGGGAGAGGGGCTGTGCTCCGCCGCCCTCAGCCTCGGGTTTCCCCCCTGCAGGATGCTCTGGCGATTTGTCTCGCTCTTCTCGGAGCTGGAGGCGAAGCAGCTTCGCAGGCTCTACAAGTACACCAAGAGTAACCAGACGGCCAAGTTCCTGGTGAGACACTCGGGAAAGCTCCTCCCGGGACCATCCGAGAGTTGGTTGGTGTGTTCTTGGATTGTGGGGGGAGGATGGGACTGAGGGGCCCTCTGATACACCCGGCACCCCTCCAGTCCTTTCTATGGCTCACTGCCTGAGGAAGAGCCCTCTGCCCCTACCTTTACCCCTGCAATGGGCACAGAATGGGGCTGAAGAGGATGGAGACTCAGCCCCAAGTTCTTCAGATTTATTCACCCTCCACGCCCATACCCTGATGTTGGCAGGGGCAGGGACATCCCTGAGGAGCCATGGGTGGAGACAGTTGAGGCCCGGCAGAAAGGCACAGCCAGCTTGGGGAAGGCTGTGGGGACTGTCGACAGAGCCTGGCCTGGCTTTGTCCAAAAACAGTGATTCTCAAAATTTTGGTCTCAGGTCACTTCTACCCTCAGAAATTTAACTGAGAACCCCAGAAAGCATTTGTTTATGTAGGTTATATCTATTGATAGTTCCCCTATTAAAAATTAAGGCTAAAGAAAAATTCAAAAATATGTATTTACTAATCTGTTTAAAAATAAAAACAAGGAGCCCATTACATATTAACGTAAATAATTTTTATGAGAAATAACTGTATATTCCAAAACAAAAAAATTTAGTGAGAAGAGTGGCATTGTTTTACATTTTTGCAAATCTCTTTAGTGTCTGGCTTAATAGAAGACAGCTGGATTCCCATTTCTGCTTCTGCATTCAATCTCTTATGATATATTGATTTGGTTGAAGTACATGAAGAAAACCCACCCTCGTACAGATATGTAGTTAGAAAAGAGAGGAGTGTTTTATTAGCATTTTCAGATAATTGTGGATATTTTTCTCTGACACCACACCAAAACTCAACAAGTGGCAGTTATCACTGATGTTTTTACTGTCACCATAGTTTTGACTTTTCCAGAATGTCATGTAGTTGGACTCATACAGTATGTAGCCTTTTCAGATTTGTATGAATGAACTTTTCACACTGGGTTGCATTAGAATCCATTGGTTTCTCTCTTGTGCTTTGAGTGGACCCCACTTTTCAGGGGGTCCATGAGGTCAAAATTCAGGGACCTCCAGGGTTTCACAGAGCACATTTTGAGAACCACTGGTCCAAAATCATAATCACAGGGAACAGTTTCTATGTGCCCGGCACTTTATGTTCCCTCCTGTAATCTTCAGAAGTAACTCTAAGTGGTAATTGGAATTACTGTCCATGGTGTGTAAATGAAGGTGCCACGTGTAGGAAGGTAAAGTAACCACCTAGACCTCATAGCAAGTGGGAGAGAAGAGCCGGGTTCAAACCTCATCTGGCTCAGAGGAGAGCCCAGCTCTAACCACGGCCCCCCAACCCCACTACCCACCCCTGCAGTGCACAGCTTTGACCAAATCCTCTCCCTTTCTTCCTCTGAATGTGAATGGGTGGATTGTTTCAGTGATTCCTCCTCTGAATATGAGGAGCTACCATTTTAATGATTCCTGGATTTTGCTGACCAGGAAAATTGCAAAAGATATTTTCAGGCTCTCAATTTTAATTTTGCAAAGGACTTTAAAACGAGTACCCTTGTTTCATTACAAACAAACACATAAGACACTATAACGGAAAAAAAGAGATGAGGACATATCTCAAAATAAAGAACTACCCAAGAAGAGACAGTTGGGAGCCTGGCCTTAATGTCCCCATGGTCCTTTGTCTCCCGCCTCTGTGGCTCTCATCCATCCTTCTGGCTGGGCAGGTGTGGGTGCAGCCAGACCGCAGCAGTTTCCTAACACGGGTAGAGATGGGGCTCTGGAACGTGGGCCCCTCTCTTCTCCACACCCTCCTCGACACCATGACCCCATTGCAGGTGGCATTCTGCCCCTTGGACGCACCGGAGAGCTCCTTGATGGCTGGCCAGGAAGACAGTCTGCCCAAGCTCTGCAATGCCTGGGGGCTGCACAGCAACATCAGCAGCATGAAGGAGAGGCTGTCCAAGATGCAGGCCCCAGGCCATGAGGCTGCCCTGCTGGGGGAGCCGGGATCCCAGGTCCACGCAGGGAGAGGTAATGCGCGTTAGGTGTGGGGGAAGTGCGGTGCCGGCGTGCCCCCCAGAGCAGCCTGACGCGTCCCTCTTCCTGCTTCTATCTTCTCATCTCTGCATTTCTCTCTCTGTCCATTTTACTTCCCCTTCTCCACTTTTTCCTTCCTCTTGTTCATCCCACTCCCCTCAGGTATGCTCATTATAGAAAGTTTGAAATATGCAGATTAGTATAAAACAGAAGAGAGAAAAGTCACCCATCACCCAGAGGCCATGACTATTCATGTGTTCTGTATAATTTCCTCCTGGAGGTCTCATGATACATACAATTTTGAATCCTGCATTTTTCAGTTAACATTGAAACCAAGGCACTTTCCCATCTGACTAGAAGCAGAGCAGAGATCATGTCTTGTGGCCAAGAAAGGGGACTCCAGGAAGTGTCCAGGCAGCAGCAGGACGGCCACTCCCGGTGTTGGGTGGGGAGTGGGCTAAGGGAGGCGTTCACCTCACAGTGAGCAGGAGGTCCCGGCACATGGCCTGGGGATGGCCTTCCCAGCAGCTTTGGCCTCTGTGGTGACTGCCCTGCCTGGCTCTCTGGACAGAGGCCGTGGGGTTAGAGGATAGAGACTCTTCATGGAAAGGGAGGGCCCCAGCCACGGTTGGAACCTGTGAAGGCCCCTCCTGTGCACTGAGGTGCAGAGAGATGTTGGAACTCCCCACCCCTCACCCTTCTGGAACTGGCTTCTGGGGCCACAGTTAGCTGTTCTTGCTTAGCTACTGGGGGAGAAAGTAAAGGCGAACAGGGCAGCCTAGGACCTCAGAGTGTTGTCCTAAATTGGACCCAGATGATCCTCTGAAGTCAGGCTGGCTGAGGCTAAAGCAGGCCAGCAGCCCTTGAGGCCTCTTCCACCAGCCACAGCTAGACGGAGCGGAGAGCAGGAGTTAGGACAGGTCAGGTGCGGTGGGCACGAGCTAGGCAGCTACTGAGACCCAGAGCCCTGCCTGGGCTCTGCGAGGACCCATCGCCCCGGTGCCTACAGTTTAAATTGAGGAAGTAAAACATGCAATGGAATGAAGGCCAGTCCATCATGAAGATGATCTAGGCCAAGCAGTCCATGGATCACATGAGGAAAGTGAGCTCTGGGCTTTTGGGCCAGCCTCTCCCTGAACCAGGTGCTTTATTTCTCTCAATTACACTTGGCTCCGGGCAGCATTCCGATAAGAGGATATTATTATCCCCCTTTTACAAATGAGCAATCCGAGGCCATAGGGCAAAGGGTAGGACAGGCTGTCTGAAGGAGGTAAGTTTGGGACAGGCTTTAAAGGGATAAGGAGAGGGCGTGGGGAGGAAGGGAAAGAGGTGGAAGGAAAGGCTTGTGCAGAGGTGAGGGGCAACGAGCACCGTCTGGGCTTGGAGGGGAAGGGAAGGGCAGGCTGGAGAAGTACGGGATAGGAGTGTAACAGGAAAAAGCCTTTGATGGTGGGTTAAGACGCTTGGCTCTCATGCACTTCTTAAAATAACATCTTATTACTACAAACAGAAGCATATCATAGAAAATTAGATAACACAGTTAAGCAAAAATAAGAAAATATAAACATCACATTGTGATCACCACTGCCAGCACTTTCTAGATGGTTTTTTTTTTTGGCTGATTTTATGTGTGTGTGTGAGGAAGATTAGCCCTGAGCTCACATATGTTGCCAATCCGCCTCTTTTTTTTTTTTTTTTTTGCTGAGGAAGATTGGCCCTGGGCTAACATCCATGCCCATCTTCCTCTACTTTATATGAGACGCCGCCATAGCATGGCTTGACATGTGGTACGTCTGTCCGCACCTGGGATCTGAACCTTTGAACCCCAGGCACTGAAGTGGAGCACGCGAACTTAACTGCTACGCTACCGGGCCAGGCCCTCTAGATGTTTTTATGTATATAAATACATATATTTTAACCAAAAAGAGACCATCCTGTATATACGATTTAGTTATATCAACCTTCCATGTCAACGTCTTCATTTCATCTAATTGTTAGATTAAATACTCCATATTCAAATTTTCTCAATAGTCAAAGATATCTTTTGTACTGGTTTCCTAAACCCTGCATTTTACCTGGTTATGTCTCTCAAGTCTCTTTTAACCTAACAAAGTCCCCTTTTTCACTCCCTGACCTGTTGAAGAGATCAGGCTATTGTTCTGCGGAATGTTCCACTTTCTGCTTTTTTCTTGTTGCTTCCTTTTGGCATCTTTTAAGCTTGTTCCTCTATCTATAAACAAGACTTTAAATCAAAAGTCTTGATGAATTCATGTTAAACATGAATACATTGGGTGTTAAATGTATTCCATTTAACATTAAATCCATGTTAAATATTAGATACATTAGATACATTCTTGGGATACCTTAGAGATGAAGTTTCTCATCTTCACATTGTGTCAGATGAGAAAACACATCCCATCTGGTGGACCCAGCGTGAATGGGCTGAGGTTAATCATGGAGTCTATCTGTGCAACTAAAGGTAACCCACGTGGTGTTTCTTTGGCACTACGTTCGTCAGTCAGTTCTTCGATAAAGGATGGTAATGGCGTTTGCAAACAGTCCAGCAGCCAAGTACTGGGAAGTCGGTCATGAAACCGGAGAGGAGTGGGGAGGAATCAGAGTCCAGAGCCAGAGGTCAAGAAACGTGGGTCTGGTTCTGACTGTGCCCCTCACTTGCCTTAGGCCCTGGGCAACCCGTTTGCTCACTCTGTGCCTGGGTGGGATCCCTCGCCTATAACTTGGGGTCATTCCATCTCCCTACCCCACAGGGGCTCTAGAGAAACGAGTAAGGGACGTAGGCTGGAAGTAACATAAGATTTTGTCGTTTCTCCTTTTGGTCCCTGCCACACCCCCAAATGTTCTAGACCAAGGTTCTCTTCCTATTCGTGATGTCATCAGGACTGTCTCTGACCTTCCCTTTTTCAGGTTCGCTAAGTAAACTTCCTCAAAAACCAAAACTCAAGAGAAAGAGGATTAAGGGAGCCCCAGAAAGTCCAGAGACCTGCCCGTAAGAAGACCCAGCTGGGACAGAGAGCTGGCTGGCCTGGGTCCCAGAGCTCCTGTCTCTCTTCAACACCTCTGAACCTGGGGGGATGGCGACCAACGAGGGGAAAGAAGAAAGTTGTCTTTATCATAAAGGACACTCAGGTCTTAATTATGTGTAAATGGGGTGCAAAATAAACATCCTTAAGACAGTTCTACTTTACTTGGCTGACAATCATCATTCATCCATTTTTTTATTTCTTTAAACAATACTCGCCAGTCACCTTCTTGAGTGGCAGATGCACCACACATACACAGATGAATAAGAGGTGGTTGCTTGTGTCAAGGACTGTCACAGTCTAGTGGAGGAGACACATGTAAATAGATATTGCATGGGGGTGAATACAGGTGCCTGGGGAGGCCTCAGGGGAGGTAACAAAGGAGCTGATGTACATTTGCCAGGAGAGAGCACAGGTGGGAGCGGAGAGCCTGGGGTCAGTAAGAGAGTGACACATCTGGCAGCCTTCCTGAATTGACCAGATCTTGTGAGTAACTTGGGGGTGAGTAACAGGGAGATGTCAAGCAGTGGAATGAGCTGATGTGACTTGGGTATTGGGGAGATGCTCTGGAGACTATGAGCATGGAAGTGAGGGAGGGTAGAGGCAGGAGACCAAAGAAGAAACAACACCAGTAGTCTTAGCTAGGATGGTGGTTCAAACCAGTGGTCAAAAATTGGCAGCCTGGGGCTGGCCTCATGGCCTAGTGGTTAAGTTCGGCACGCTCCACTTTGGCGGCCCAGGATCGGTTCCTGGGCGTGGAGCTACACCACTTGTCAGCCATGCTGTGGCAGCAACCCACATACAAAATAGGGGATTGGCACATATGTTAGCTCAGGGCAAATCTTCCTCAAGCAAAAAGAGGAAGATTGACAAGAGATGTTAGCTCAGGGTGAATCTTCCTCAGATAAAAAAAAAACTTGGCAGCCTGCATGCTGAAAATTCAGATCACTGATATGTTTTATTTGCCCCTTGTGGTGTCCTACTTGTTGCTTAAAACATTTTTTTAAAAATTAGTTGCCAATATTAACTTGGTACATTTCACATTAAAAACAAAACAACAGGGGCTGGCCCGGTGGTATAGTGGTTAAGTGCATGCTTTCTGCTTCGGCGGCCTTGGGTTCACAGGTTCGGATCCTGGGCGTGGACTGACGTACCACATGTCAAACCATGCTGTGGCGGTGTCCCATATAAAGTAGGGGAGGATGGACACGGGTGTTTGCCCAGGGCCAACTTCCTCAGCAAAAAGAGGAGGATTGGCATGGGATGTTAGCTCAGGGCTGATTTTCCTCACCAAAATAAATAAACAAAAATAAAAACAACAACAGATTGCTGGCTTTTAAAAACTGGCCCCACTGGGACCTGCCTTCCCCGCTGACAACACCTGGCTGGGGCTGAGAAGCAGTTGTTTAGGCTTCACTGATATTCCTTCCAGTTCGCCACAGTCTCCACCCCTCCCTGTTGCCTTACACACTGGCCTCTTCACTCATTTATATCACCTCTTTGACCCTTTTAGCTGTTCGCATTGGCTACCCTTGGGTACACAAAGGCAATGAAGGTGTGCATGAAAGGGGGAGAGGCGAATTTGTGAGATTATATAAGGTAAAATCGACAGTTTTTGGTGGCAAATGTGGGAGATGAGAAAGGGAGGGAGGGGGAGGAAGTGAAGACAGTACATTGTTTCTAGCTAGAAAGATGAGGTGGATGGTGGTCAACTCCAGGAGGGGAAGCAGGTCCAGTCATTTTCCAAAAACACAGGAGAATCAGGGCTCTGCCTGAGGCAGCAGCACACAGTGCCCAGTGCTGCCTGGAGTGGGTAGGACCAGAACACAAATGTGTGTGACCCTTTGTCCTCCCCTCCCTCAATTTATATTCAGGAGTGAATACCATCAAAGATTTAAAGTGTTAAAGTGAATATCAATCTAGACTTGAAGAATAAGTACAGGGGAGCAGAAATAGGGAAGAATGGGGCAGCCTCAGCTCTTTCCTTGTGCCTTGTACCCATTGCCTCCTAGAAGTGGCTAACGCATGGGCCTGGGGTCAGCCTTGCTGGGGTGGTCCCTGACAGTCCTGACAAAAAAGGGAGGATTTGCGAAAGAAGGGCAAGCAGCCTGGAGGGTGTCCCTGGTAACTGGGGGCTCTCCAATTTTCTCTACTCCTGAGAGATTTTGCTAACAAGGTCCCAGGGAAAGGGCTGGATGTTTTGGGAACAGATGGAAATAAGGCGGTGTCCTCTGTGTGTGAGGCAGCACTGCCACCTAGAGGAATTGTGGGACTCTACAGCCGTATTCTTCCAACCAGGGCAGGGTGTGAGCAAAGAAATGGAGACCAAGAGCAAGTGGGGAAGCTTCATATCAGCGTTGGGGACAGTCAGGAGGCCTGAAAGCAAAATGAGCAACAGGTGAGGCTTGGTTTTGGCGCTCTCTTAACTCTTTCCTCAAATTCAGCAGGATGTCAGAATTCCAAAAAGGCAGATCACACGACATCGCCCCACTCAAAACCCTCCAACAGCACAGAGAGAGGATTTTGAGGGCAGTGAAAATACTCTGTATGATACTAGAATACTAGAATGGTGGGTACATGTGTCCACATCAATAGAATCTGCAACACCAAGAGTGAACCTTAATGTAAACTATGGACTCTGGGTGATGATGATGTGTCAATGTAGGTTCATCTATTGTAACAAATGTACCACTCTGACAGGGGATGTGGATAATGGGGGAGGCTGTGCATGTGTGGGGGAAGGGGATATATGAGAAATCTCTGTACCTTCTGCTCAATTTTGCTGTGAACCTAAAACTGCTCTAAAAAATTAAGTATTAAAATAAACGAACCAAACAAAACCCTCCAACAGCTCTTTATCTCACGCAGATTAAAAGCCAGAGTCTTTGCAAGGGCTGACAAGGCCCTCTATGATCTACCCCCACCATTTATTCTGTTACCTCTCTGCCCTCATCCTTGCTTTTCTCCTACTTGTCAAGCATACTCCTGCCTCAGGGCCTTTTCACTGTTTCCCCGAGATATCCACTCAGCTAACTCCTTCAATGCCTTGAAATAGTTGTTCAAACGTCACCTCCTCAGTGTAGCCTAGCATGAGCCCCTGTTTTATTTATTTATTTCTTTATTTTATTTTTTAAATTTTTTGTTTATTGCAGTAACATTGGTTTATAACATTGTATAAATTTCAGGTGTACATCGTTATACTTATATTTCTGCATAGATTACATCATGTTCACCACCCAAATACTAATTACAACCCCTCACCACACCCATGTGCCCAATTATCCCTTTCGCCCTCCTCCCTCACCCCTTCCCCTCTGGTAACCACCAATCCAATCTCTGTCTCTATGTGTTTCTTTGTTATTATCTACTACCTAATGAGGGAGATCATACGGTATTTGACCTTCTCCCTCTGACTTATTTCACTTTGCATTATACCCTCAATGTCCATCCGTGTTGTCACAAATGGCTGGATTTCATCGTTTCTTATGGCTGAGTAGTATTCCATTGTGTGTATGTACCACAGCTTCTTTATCCAGAGCCCCTGTTTTAAATTCCAATCCTCCTGCATACTCTGAATATCCCTTACTTTGTTTTTGTTTTCCTAAAGCACTTATACCCCTCAAATGTTATATAATTTGGTTAATGATTATATTTCTTATTTATTGACGGTATCCTCCCACAAAAATGTAAGTCCCACAGGGCAGAGGTTTTTGTCTGTTTTGTTCAGTGCTGTATCCCAAGCAATTACAACAGTACCCAGCACGCGGTAGGCACTCAACAAACATTTGTAGAATGAATGATTGAACAAACCAAAAGAAACCATTTAGTCCAACCACCTCCTGGTTCAGAGGGGAAACAAGAGGCCCAGGAAGAAAGGTGACTTCTCCAAGGTTGTAGAAGAAGTCAACGCCAGAACTGGGCCTAGAACTCAGACCTGATGACGCCCGGGCCAGTGCACTTCCCACATACCAATGACACATGCTCCACCTGCTCTCAGCCAAAACACACATTTCCCGCAAAATGTAAATGACCCACAAGACTCCGAGGGTTTGTATTTTCTTAGTTAACATCTGTCTACCCAGAGTATGATTCTTTAAGGTGGACATGGGGACACCAGAAACAGGTGGTTGGGAGAGGCTGTTTGGAGGTGGGGAGCCTTGGTGGAAACCTCCACATCACACCTTGGCTTATGCTGCCTTATGGGTAGGCTCACCCTAGAGAAAATGCCTCACTGATGGCCAGACCAGGCGGCCCTCAAGAAGGGCCCCTCTCCTGGAAAATAATGGATACCTTCCCTAAAGACTTACATGGAAGACCTCCTGAGCGCAGGTGTAATGATTGACCACTGGCTGACCCACCCCCATCCCAGGCTACAGGAGTCACCTGGCATCTCTTCTGCATAGAAACACTGCCACAAATGCACCTAACTGGGGATGCTTTGCATCCATTCTCATCGGATCTCCATGTCAAACTTGTGAGGGAGACTCCTCCCCATTACAGAGAAGAAAACAGGGGCTTAGCGGCTGACACAGCTGAATGAGATGTTGACTTTCCAGGTCTCCTGACTCCACATCCAGTGCTCCTG